AGATGACATACATTTCCTATTATAGAATTTTTGCTTTCTAATAATCATATTATGAATGAAAGAATACCCAAATGAAACTTTTAAGATATTAATCACATATTACTTGAGATTCTGCCCAGCTAGGATACAACCTATAAAATCTAATTATTATCCAGATTCAATAAAAGGTGATGCAAGTGATATGATATATTCGTAAAATGTAAGCGAATTGTTTTAATAATTATCGAAGTGTCAAAACAAGGCATGGCTGTGGTCTGTTCCTTGCATTTGAGCAATCTTGAAATAACTAAATATAATTGGTACACGGTTTAGGATCAACATCAATTAATATTTTTACAAAGAAAACAGAGTAATTTGATCGGTAATTTACTACAAAAACAATACGGACAAATAATTCTCGTGATTGTGAAGCACTAACAATTAGTGTACTTTCTATATATGTACATGGAAAATCAATATTTTGTGGAGGAAAATTATCGACTGTCTCTGAAGACTGAGGGTTTCTCGGTTTTGAGATGAGAATTCCATCTCGTTATTCCACTTTTTTGCATTTATTTAATAATAATAATAATAATATTCGAATGTTGTTTCATTATTCGATCGTCGGTCCAATCGACTGATAGTCGAATAGTCGACTATTTGTTGACATCCCTAATAAGAATATAATGCAAGCCCCTGTGCCTAGCTTTATTCAGTTGTTTATTTGACTTATACGTGGATTTAATTTTTTTTTAAGTCACTTGCCCACAGGCAAGTGGTTGATAAAATTTCACTAGCCCAACCCTAAAATTCACTAGCCCCGTGCATCGGCCAATGGGATTTGTCAGCCCCTGTGAAGATCCTTGTTTTCTATTTGTTGTTGAGAGTTTGTTGTTATTGATTTATAAAAGGAAAAAAGTTATTGGGAAACAGCAAAAAAAGTATTCTCAGAAAAAGGTGGGGGCAGCCTCCTTGCCCCCTTCCACCCACACCATGTGTTTATGTAGAGATGTATAACTTGTACAAATAAGAACAAAATTTGATTATCAAATTCAATAAAATATACTCGAATGTATCATTCAAATTACTCTTTTGACATGTTCCCTTAAGTGTAAAGTCTGCAGTTCAAAGTCTGCATGTTGTCGGGTGTCTGAGATTCTGAAAATGTTCAATAGTGGGAAAGGACACTGTACCTCTTTGCATGTACTTTATAAAACGAGTGCCTACGAAAAGCACTACAGTAAAGCACAAACATGTTTAATGAATTGACGCTTACAATCCCAGTGACTTTAAAATATATTGTAAACTTAATACATATATGTAAAATAAATTATAACAAAGCATACTCATCTGTCTCTTGCACTTCCATCATTATAAGCGTGCTTCACTGTAGTTATAAATGTGCATCTAAACAGGGTTGTCCCTAAAACCCGGGGGCCGGGGAATTTCCCCACCTATAATGATGTAATCCCCCACTTATTCTGGTATTCCCCCTCAACCCCTCTGTTAGGGAGGAACCCGAAAAACCCTTCTACTTTTTAAATGTCCCCTGCTATTTCAATTCTTAGGGACAACCCTGCTAAAGAAGGTGTTTCCCCTTCAGAACAAGTAATAAAAAAAGCTTAAAGTGAGCATGATGATAAATCACTTACGGAACATTATTAAATAACTAAGGATTCAAAACAGTTATTTTTTTTATATACATGTGTTAGTATGGTAGTGTATGATACACAGCTTCTTTAATACTGGCTTAGGCTTGTGGGTTAAACTTGTACCTCAATTGATAGAACAATGGACTGGCATACCAGGGATGGGTTCAAATTCAGTCAAAGACACAAAATTATGTCTCTAGTACACTAGTTTTATAATCTTATATATAAATATTAATTTTTTAAAATGTAGAGGTGGGATGATATATCGACCAATACATACTGATATTTTCTGGCTTAGATATGGTTTATGATACATGCATTGAAATATCGGTACGAAACGATACATGAACGACCTATCAAAAAATTGAAAATGGCTGCTTGTACAAAGTGAAGAGATGATATTGATATTGTAAACGCTCTTTACATCTAATAAGTCATAGATAAGAGGGAAAACATTTTCACTCTTGAGCATCCTCGGAAGATGGTACTGTACATAGAAAAGTTCAGTATGTAAAGCATCAAAAAGTATCGTTAACAGTTAATCGTAACAACAGTTAATATTATTTTGTTAGTGGCCATCTGCACTAACAGCCAATAACAAAGCTTGGATTGAAATTTTGAAACAAATTGGAAATTACCCTTTTTGGAGAAATTAGGAAAATCAGCTGGGGTCTGTGGGCCACTTTCACTGGCAAGCCCTGCAGGCCCGTAGGAAGCAATTTCACTTTGAGGGGGCACAACCATACATTTTCAGTTGAAGGGGCACTATCAACTACCAAAATTCCCTGACAAGCAAAAAAAAAAAAAAAAAAAAAAAAAAGGTCATCAGACGTTATTATTGAGGGGGCACAAGCATATAGCAGCTATGTTTTCTATAGTGTTCTATATATTGGCAAAATTATTGGGGGGGCACGGCCCCCCCCCCCCCCCCGGTTCCTACGGCCATGTGGGGGGCCCAATTTCAGCATTTTAATGACATTTAGAGTGCATAAAATAGCAAAGTATACCATATTTCACATCTGATGAAAATTTTTTGAAGGAAAAAAAATTATTTGTGCTTTTCATTATTGTAAGGGGAATTTTGTACTCATCAAAAGGGGAAAATGGGATATTAGGGGAAATTTTCTCTTGAAAAATAAGTCCGAATATCAGTAGTAAATATGCCCTAGAATATTGTTTTGTAAATTTTTAGTCAATGAAATTGATGAACTTCAAGTATCAATTTCAAAGCACATTTGATTTGATATAGAATCTTGATTTATTGTCAAAGACATTGAAATGAAATACTAAATTTTTGTATCGCCTGCAGAGCAGAGCGGCACTAAGAGATCACTTTACCTGGCATCTGTCTGTCCTTCTGTCACACCCTATATCTCAAGATCTGTAAGAGGTATGGATTTTATATTTTGCACATATATTGCTTGGCACTATGGCTTTTGTAAATTACCATGGTTACCGACCTCTTGACCTTGACCTTTGACCTACTTTTCAAAATACAATGTAGTTCATAGGGCCGATTTACAGCATATTTTTGACATTTAAGAGGTATTTCTATGCCATTTAGCATGTTTGTCGTAACACAATATGAAAAATACCAGCAAAAAATACCTCGGGAAGTTTAGTTTAATTTATGACTTTTGAAATTTGAGAGACAGGATTTTGATAATTAGCATTTATACATGTTTATGAGCTCATGATACTGTAATTTGAATCTGTATGATGTTCAGTTACCACATATTTTAATTAAATACTATGCAAATACATCGGGATCGTTATTCCACAATGGATCGTGTTAAGACTCTCATGTTAATCTCTTTTGGAGGATTATTGGAAACACGTTTAGCTCATGATAAAGTACTTTGAAAATGTATGAGGCCAAGATAAATAAATAGTGTGTTTCCTATTCCAACCCGAGAAAAAATAGGGTAGGTAGGTAGGGAAAACATTTTATTTTATTTTAACACTGAAGTGATTGAGATTAGGATTTCTAATAGTGAAGAGGAATTGTTTACTTCTGGAAAGATATCCGCGGATAAATTTTTCAGGGTCGGCTCATATATTTTAGGGTTGATGGGGAACCGGAAACGCACAATTTATTTATCTAGGCCTGAAATTCAGTTAACACATATGTAAATAGTTACAATGAAAATACATTGGGATCGGTATTCCACCATGGATCGTGTAGAGTGACAATTGCAGTAAGGACAGACTGAAATCTGTTTTGGAGGATTAATTGTTGGAAATATGTCTTAATAAAATGATAAGTAGATATTTCTAATAATTGATTAATTTCAATTAAATTATTCATTTGAGGGTTAAAGAACCATATTTTCTTTGATTGTCAGATTCTATCAGAGTCTTATACTATCCATAGGTGCCAGTTTTTCTCTGCAGGCAAATGCATGTATTGAACTATCATGCTAAAAGTAAATAAAAAGCTGACCAATTTTATACTTTTGTCACCTTTAAGGAAGCTACAGAGCAGGAGACACATGTGTTCCTTGAAACACTCTAGTTTTAATTTTATAGTTTTCATATATATTTATTATATTGAGATACGTATCATATCATGTTACTTGTTTATGTATTGAGATACGTATCATATCACAAGATCTACCTGTTTTGTCCCACCTCTATAAAAATGTTTGCTTTTGATGAACTCAATTGCTTTCAAATTGATGGTGATCATCATATAGGTACTCATTGAAGAAGAAAAGAAGAACCGGGAAGATCTGTTGTGTACATGATACTTAAATTTGCACCAGTCTTGCATTTTACTTTATTTGTTATCGACATGAACAATATTTCAAATTTTTTTTTTAGAAAAGGTTGAAATCTCAAAAGTTCAAGGGGTCACAATCTTTAAATTATACCAGTACATGTATTTTTTTAAAAAAATGTGAAAAGTTTAAACAGTACAAAAAAGATGAATGATTCAATCCCAGATGTCGGACTTGATCTCGCCCCTCCAGATAAAGCAAAATGTCTTTTAAAACTATCTAAGTTGATGCAAAGATTACATATTATATTTTTATTATTTCTTAACTGTTCTTGTGTGTCGAGACAAGGTCAGTTGTATTGAGAGCACTAACAAATTATATTTGCTATTGGGGTCAAAAATCAGGTGTTGAGTGATGTAGACTTTTCTTGTAATCATGGGTAAAAATATACACATATACTGATGAAAAAAATTCAATTAAATTGTGTAATGCAGAGCAAAACTATTATTGCAGATTTTGGAGTTTTCACAACAAGAGCAAACTTAAGGTGACTTTATTCTTGAAAATGTTGGAGACTGAGAGGCAGATGTGTAAACAGACAACTCTTCATGGAATTGGAGGATACAAGTATATAACTGAATGCATTCTGTCTGGTTTTCTGTATGGTGACAGAAGGCTTTGGTAAGTCAAGATTACAGTAATAGATCATAAGTAAACAATTATCATTTAAGTTCTCATTTTGAAATCTATGCTTCCATTACCATAAAAAAAACATTCACTGACTTCATTTGCTGACCTTATGGTTATTCAGTCTTTGAAATGCACTTTTTTTGTTTTCAATCGATCTTACTTGAAAGGAAACTCCAATTAACTCTGTGCTAATTTTAGCCCTTTTTTTCAAATGAAAACCTAAGTCACTCACTGACCTATTTGCTATCTGCTTTTGCCCATCCTTCTTTAACATTTGAATATTTTTAGCTTCTTCTCTGGAAATGATGAACCAATTTCAACCAATATCTAGTATGATGAAGGGGAATAAAAATTGTGAATTTCATTATATCTGCCACCCCCCCCCCCCCCCCCTCCCTTTGGCCTGAGGGATAGGGCTAAACTTATTAAAATTATTTCAATCTTTTAAAATCTTCTTTTTTTTACTACTGGAAATTCAGCAGTTGAATTGCTGCTATGGTTGAATAAGCATTAAGCCCTCTGTCAAAATTTTGAAATTCATTGCCCCAAGGTCAGGGGTTCCGGTGTAAGGGTGGAGCTCCATTGATTAAATATGGTGAAAATGCATTATTTCTTTGAAAATATCCTTCTCTGCTCCTGGATATGAAGCAAACAAACTAAGTACAAAGTTATGATGAGCACCTCTTCCAAAATTATTAATTTCATGGCCCTTGGGTTGTGGTGTTAGGATGGGGCTTTAGTGATAATTATAGTGAAAATGCATTAATTCTTTGGGAATCTTCTTCTCTGTCTCTGATTATTAAGGGGAAAAAACTAAGTGCAGGTTATAATGAGCAAGGGTGCTTCTTTGAAAATTGTGAATTTCATAGCCCCTGGATGAGAGGTTGGAGGGTGTGGCCTATGGATAATACAGGTATAGTGAAAATGCATTATTTCTTTGAAAATTTCTTTTCTGCTCCTGAGTGTTGAAAACAATACTAAGTTCATGGTTATGATGAATAAAGTTGCCTTTTCCATAATTTTGAATTTTATTCCCCAAGGGGTCATTAGTTTCGGTGTTAGGGCAGGGCCCTATTGGTTATATAGTGAAAATGCATTATTTTTCTGAAAATCTTCCTTCTTTGATCATGTGCATCAGATTTATACCAATCTTAGTACATAGTTATGATAAGTAACAGTGTCTCTTTCAAAATTGTGAATATCATGGCCACTTGGTTCGGGATTCTGGTGCTAAGGCATGGTTCTATTGAATATACAGTGAAAATGCATTAATTTTTTGAAAATCTTTCCTGCTTCTCGGTATAAAGCAGATAAACTGAGCCCATGGTTATATTAATCAAGGGTACCTCTTCCAGATTTGTGAAATTTGTAGCTCCAGGGTCAGCAGCTCTTATGTTTGAAGATGGAGTTGTCTATTGAATTTATATAGTGAAAATTCCTTAATATTTTTGAAAATCTTTTCTTCTCCTGGGTATTAAACAGACAGACTATTAAATGAGCAAAGTGCCTCTTCCTGAGTTCCAAAATTATGAATTTCATGGCCCTAGGGTCAGGGGTTTTTCTTTCTCTTGCCCTTAGATTTAGTTTTGCTCAAATCATGACCCCTTTGTAGAGCGGGACCACAATGGGAAATGAAAGTTTTACAGAGGAATATATAGCTAAAGATCTTTAAACGTCTTCTCGAGAACAGCAAAACCATGGGTAGTCATATTCATATGGGAGCATCCTCAGGTAGCACTGCCACAGATTTAAGTTTGTTCAAATCATGAACCCCAGGTGTAATGGTTGAGTGGAGCCACAATTTTGGATCAAAGTTTTACATAGAAAAACATAGGAAAAATCTTTAAATAAAAATTAACTGTTCAAGAAAAATAAAACCTTGGTTAGTCATATTCATATGGTTGCATCTTCAGGTAGACTCAAGTTTTTTTGTTTTTTTTTCAATCATGATCCCTTGGGGTATAGGACTGGCATAAAAAACCTATGCAGAGTGTTTAAATGCCTTTTTAAATTAATTCTGATGTAGAATTTTTTTGTTTTATTTATCAATCAGACATTCAGCTGTATAATACACTGTAGTGTACATACTGATGCATCAGTTGAAAATATTTTTCTCTCAGTATGTCATTTAAGCTCACCTAAGCTGAAAGCTCAAGTGAGCTTTTCTGATCACCCATTGTCCGTCATCCCTCTAGCTGTCTGTCCGTCAGTCTGTAAACTTTTCACATTTTCAACTTCTTCTCAAGAACCACTGGGCCAATTTTAACCAAAATTGGTACAAAGCATTCTTGAGTGAAGGGGAGTTTAAATTATAAGAATAAAGGGCCAAGCCCCCTTTCAAGGGGAGATAATCAAGAAAAGACAAAAATTTGGTGGGGTCATTAAAAAATCTTCTTCTCAAGAACGACTGAACCAAAAAAGCCGAAACTTATGTGGAAGCATCCTGGGGTAGGGTAGATTCTGAATTCTTCAAATCATGACCCCCGGGGGTAGGGCGGGGTCACAATAGGGAATCCAATTTTTACATTGAAATATGTAGAAAATATCTTTAAAAATCTTCTTCTCAAGAACCACTTAGCCAGAAAAGCTGAAACTTATGTGGAAGCATCCTTGGGTAGTGTAGATTCTAAATTATACAAATCATGACCCCTAGGATAGGGCGGGGCCACAATAGGGAATCCAAGTTTTACATTGAAATATGTAGAAAATATCTTTAAAAATCTTATTTTCAACAGTCAGGGGTGAGACTGAAATCCATCATTTTTAAAATGACGATTTTAAGCCATAAAATAAAATTTTTATTATGACTTAAACTCGTCATTTTTAAGAAAATGACGAAAAACAGTCATAAAAATTTAGAGTGTTTCTAGAATACCGAGTTACCTCTCTTTGAAAAATGTTAGATCCACCAACCGAAAAAAGGACAAAAAACATCGTAAACGAACTTCATTTCTCTAATACAGTTGACTACAATACTGGTTATGTTGACAGTATAAATTTCCCAAGCAAAATTAAGAGTGGAAGAGTTATTTGTCAATTTATTTGCATTAAATAGGAAAGAAGACGAAAATGACGATATTCTGTCTTTTTTCAAAATGGAGGGTCTGGGCGCACTGAAATATCTCGCTTGTTTTACGGGGCGCACTACTTTTTTATGGCTTTAACTTTTTGTCAAGACTTTTCTCTACAAGTACGTATTCTTCCAGACGGTGTACTATATGTTTTTATAGGGCTAAAAGCCATGTAAAAATGGCGAATTAGTTCTACCAAAATTCGACATTTTACCGCTAAATAATAACTTTCACCTTCCATGTTGATGTTCTAACGCACGTGGTCAGCAGTAATTAGTAACCCGGATGAAATGAAACTTGCGTAAACACTCTTCTTTCAGCGGTGAATTCAAATTTTGCTTTTATGTAACCAGGATAGAAGAATTAAGTTGAAAAAGAAAATATAACAATAGTAAGTCATATTGACAAAAATGACGAAAATACGTACTTAGTAAATATGACGATTATCCATCATTTTTCAAAAATGACGGATTTCAGTCTCACCCCTGACTGTTCAAGAACCAAAAAGCTGAAACTAATGTGGAAGATTCTAAATTGTTCAAATCATGACCCCTTGGGGTAGGGCGGGGCCACAATAGGTATTACAAGGGGGGAAATCAGATGAAGAACAGCGGGGCCAAAGTTACTCAGGTTAGCATTGTGGTCCAGGGGCCTCTTCTTTTACCCTAAAAAATAAGCACTATTTATATGATGTTACCCATTGCAAAATATGTTGTTAATGATGAGGCAGGGCTCAACATTAACGCTTGTCCGCTTGTCCGGTACCAGTGAAAAAAAATTACGGACAAGTGAATATTGCCAGGCACTTGTCCGATTGGACAAGTGCATTTTAATGTAAAAGAGTGTCTAAATAATAAAAATAACGACTGTTGAAAGTTATTCGGTAGTTTCAAGACGGAAGCTGTACATAAAAACCGGACTTCGATCCCGATAGAGATCGTTAATTGAGTTCACATTCGATCGGGATCGAAGTTCACTAATTGCATACTACCGAAAAGGCATGGAACTTACGAACTTAACGAATGTGGACATTTATGTTGTTGTCAGGACAGAAAGCCTAGATAAAATTTTATTTTATGTGTTTTTTGTATTTATCAATAACATCACGAATCAATCAAGCACATGCCATGTGTAATGGACTTTATTTTAGTTTTCAAGTTGACAGTATTAGATCTCTATTGAAAAATTTTCGGACAAGTGAAGTTGAAGTTCGGACAAGTAAATGTCTTGGTCACTTGTCCGAATGGACAAGTAGGAAAAAAAGTTAATGTCGAGCCCTGTGAGGGTAACAATATTACCACGATTCATTCAGAACAGATCACTCTAACCTCCGACTTACTTCAGCCAAAATTCTTTGTGAAGATATAACCATGTTGATAAATATTGAATTATCAGAAAATTTTACAATATCTACTAATAAATGATTGATTATAATTGAGAGTAATCAATTGGTGCCAGGGATCGACATTAATGGTTGTCCAATTGCCTGAGACAAGTAAATTCTCAGTTTGGGCAAGTGAAATTGTCAAAGTACTTGTCCGATCGAGCAAGTGATTTTGTTCATGCAAATACACATATTTATTTAGATTACATTAATTTATTAATGAAACAATAAATTGAACACTTGATTTCCGCCACGCACCTGATTGACAATTATGTTTCCTTGGTAGCGTTTCTGGATTATACCATTCATTTTGAAATCAGGTTCGTTATTTTCCTTTGTAGTAAATACGCTCTACGTCTAACAATATTTTGTTAACTTCTTATTAGGAAATTAGATTATTTATTCACGCACAGAATATATGTACAGCGTAACATAATGTATCCTGATCAAGATAAGATGTATGTTTCGTAGCAACTACATGTATCTTCCTTTAGCGTTGCTTCAGAGTTTTCTCTGAAAATCACGATTCACAAAAGGATCCTACCGAAAATAATTTTTTTAAAATATGAATTTTATTACATGTATAAGGAAATTAAAAGGAAATGGTTATTGCTGCATGGCAGTGTGTGTTAGAAGGTTAAATTTACAAGTACAGTTGTATACATTTATGTACAAATGCAGCATCTTTTTTTTTTTTTTTTCACTGACTGGTATATATACTGATATTTGATCACATTTTTTCTTATCATAACATTTACAGAAATTAATTTTTTGCTTATTAAGTTCTTTCCTAATTTTGGGCAACCAAGTTTTGCATTGAGACAAGTCAAAGTTTGAGATCACTTGCCCAAAAAAGGGCAAGTGAATCTGAAAGTTAATGTCTATCCCTGGATACAGTGCCTCTGGCCTGATGTGTTATTTTTACACCGGACCGGAATGTCTGATGTCTCAGAATTTGGTTTTGAGCTTAACTATTTCGACGCAGTCATTTCAATGTTTTTTTTTATAAGTAGAAAATATACAATTTCAAATGCATAAGTAAACATCATTAAGACACATGGACTGTCTACAGAATTATGTGGGAGCGATCCCTGGTAAAAGAAAAGCTGTTGGGCCTATACTTAAGAGGTTTTTCCTTTGTATTCATTGCATTAATTAAAAATTACACAGGACTTAATGTCCAGTGTGGTCCAAAAAACTTTCGCATAGACTGACTTAAAAGCTCTGAATTGAAAACAGTTTTATGCAAGAAAAAATTAAAATCTAGTTAAAGAAACTTTATATGCAGCATATCAAACATGTTTAATGTGCTTTGATTTAGAGGACTTATGAACATTATTTAGTTTCAGTACATTTATATGATGATTGATTCTTTAAATTTAGATTTGGTAGATATTTATTGAAAAAATAATTTGTATTTTTAATGTAAATGTTAAGTAAAATAATGCATTTCTCCAAAAGCCAGTAGACAGTGATAAATATTCCTCACGAGTCAAAAATGATAAATATTCCCCACAAGTCAACAATGATAATAAATATTCCCCACAAGCCCACAGTGATAAATATTCCCCACATGTCAACAATGATAAATAGTGATAAATATTCCCCATAAGTCAATAGTGATAAATATTCCCCACAAGTCAACAGGGCTAAAAAGTGAAAATTATTCCCCACAAGTCAGCAGCACAGGTACTTATGGATAGGACCCCCCCTCCCTTAGGACTTGGACTTTTTTTCAGAAATTATATTTATTACACTTTTTAATGTAAATGTTAAGTAAAATAATGCATTTCTCCAAAAGCCAGTAGACAGTGATAAATATTCCTCACGAGTCAAAAATGATAAATATTCCCCACAAGTCAACAATGATAATAAATATTCCCCACAAGCCCACAGTGATAAATATTCCCCACATGTCAACAATGATAAATAGTGATAAATATTCCCCATAAGTCAATAGTGATAAATATTCCCCACAAGTCAACAGGGCTAAAAAGTGAAAATTATTCCCCACAAGTCAGCAGCACAGGTACTTATGGATAGGACCCCCCCTCCCTTAGGACTTGGACTTTTTTTTCAGAAATTATATTTATTACACTTATTTATCAGGTGTACCATAGGAATAAATCTGTAAAACCCTAAAATAATCGTTCCACACAAAAAATACCCCACTGTACATTATAAGAGAGAAACATGCCACATGTTTACGTTGTTCCCCCTGCTGGTCTTTCTGGGTTTAAAAACATGTATTGGATGTATGGTGGTGGAAAGTGTTAAAGTAGTCCCCCCCCCACAATTTTTTTTTTAGTAATTGGTCCCCTACCGGTGCAACCGGAGGGGACTATAGGTTTTAGGTTTCCTCTGAGTCTGTCCGTCTGTCTGTCTGTCTGTCCCTCTGTCTGTCTGTCCCACTTGGTTTTCCATACTTTTTTCCTAAACGCTTGCAGATATTCAGTGATTTTTGGTATGTGAGTGTATCTTGATGAGTTACAGATCAGTTTGCATTTCGTTCCGCTTCATTGATTTTGACGGAATTACGGCCTTTTCAATTTTTAAGGGTTTTCCGCAATTTTCTTTTAAACGCTTTCAGATATTGAGCTGATTTTTGTTATGTGACTTTACCTTGATAAGTTGTGGATCAAATTTGCATTTCGTCCCGCTTCATTGATTTTTGACGGAATTATGGCATTTTCAATTCTTAACGGGAACCAGATTACACTTGGCGGTAGGGGACTAGTATTGCTAATGCAATACTCTCAGAGTGCTTGTTAATTATTAATTTGTATGTTACAAAGCAAGCAAAGATGCAGTATTATTGGAGCTAGGTTAGGTCACATTATGAGGTCACAATTTTTCATGGAGATAAAAAAGTTTCTGAAGAACAGCAGAGCTGAAATGGCTCAAGTGAGCATTGTTGTATATATATTAAACCTCTTTTAGATCATCTTTTATTTAAGAAGACTTCAGCTTAAGGAAGCTATTGATCTTAGGTAGAGTTGACTTCTTTTTCTCTTTGAAGATATGGGGAGAATTGGAGTGGCTAAGAATCAGATGGAGACCCAATGTCAGTTCACATGGAATACCAGGGTTTGCAAAGGAGGACATTGGAACTGGCTTAAGTATTCGAACTTCTGATGGCAGTTGATGAAAGAAGATGTCATACTTAGGGAAACATTAAATTACTTTGAATGGTAAGATTTGATTATTATACCCTGTAAAGTTCAGTATATAAACATGATATACTGTAAATCAACTTTAACTTGCCTGCAAGAAAGATCTGCAATTTTTGCAACCTTCATTACTTAGAAATATTTCTCATCACAAACCAATCATAAGTTGTGACAGCTATTGTATTATGGTAGAATGTTTCCTTCACTGGAAAAATTGATGCTTACTGTTGCAGATGGATTTCAGGGTAAAGAATCCTGAGTAAAAATTGTCGGGAATAATAGTTGATTTACAGAATACATGATTTTGCAGTTAAACATAGGTATTTTGAATACTGATATCTCGAATACAGTGGATATGTCAGTAATTTTTAAGTCCCAATCTTTTATTATATTTAATAAGTATTTTACCCTTCAGTGCTCCAAGTTGCGACTAAAATGGTCGCATTTGCAACCAAAAATTTAAATTTGTGACTGGAAATTAAAACTAACTCGCATTATTGCGACTGAGAAAATTTGGGCTGGCGATTGTCAATTTTATGATTGGGATCAAGATTACTTTTTTCCCAAGCTTCTCTGTCAAGAAAATGTTTGAGGACATTCCTAAAACTTTGTTAAGCGTTGCAAAGACTGAGATTACGTAATGATATGCCAGCATGCTGTACAGTCAACAGAACGGCTGTCAAAATGTTGTATTCTTTTTAAAACCTGATCTTGTTAATGGAGCATTTGGCTAATATAGCTTGAATATCATCATGTTTTGGTGATGTGGACAACAACTGGTTAATACATAGGTTCATAAAATAAACATATTAACAAACAGCTGACGAAGTCAGATCTGAATAGTTCAAACTTATGCACGCATCAGTCAAACTTGCTACAATTTCATTTGAATTAATTTTAATTCTAGGATAAAACACTTGTGTTCTTCATTGCACAACCATACTGGTGGTTCTATGAACTACTATTTCATGAGTGGTTTCTTCAGTCTAGCAAATTATTAAGTCACAGTAATAAGTAATCTTTGATAAATTTTAAAAAGACATCGTAGGTACATAAATGAGTGTTGTTCCTTGCTTTTACTATATGCTACATGTAAATGTGTTTTCACAAAGTGTTTTCACAATGGCGAGTGAAATATTTGTTGATTGCGACCAGAAGTTCTGAAATGGCGACCAAAAAAAAGTTTAGGTCGTCATTTAGCGACCTGGTAGGAAGTGTGACTTGGAGCACTGCCCTTAACATCTTGAATCTTCCCGATATCTCCAAGTTTTCCCACAGTTCTATGGATAGTTCGAGATAACGGGGTTTGAGTATCAGGTTTGACATTTATTTTAACAAGTACTAGACATGTCAGGCTACCTTCCATAATTTGAATTACTAACCATAAAATCACTTGCCCTGACCAAACTTCTTATAATTGTTAATTTTAATTGGTAACTTTTGAAACTATCTCTCATGCGTGTCAAGATTCTGACAGAGTAGCCATTTTGAGTCTGGTTCATTAATTGGGACATGAAAATTATGAGCCTTAAAGACATTCAACAAACTTTACTAAAATGATTATCCTAAATATTAATAAATACAGAAAGTGTTACTTGGTAAGTATTAATACCATATCAATGGATACGTTTCAACCCAGACTTGTCTACTACAGCTAAAAATATATATTATAAAAAATTTTATTGCTAAAAATAACAATTGTGTTATGAAGGGATTTCAACATACAGAGCAAAGGTTGTGCTTACATTTGTACAAATAAGATAATTTTTTTTTTTTTACAATTTTGTATATATTTATTCAAAAGACTGAAAAGGATTTAAGAGTTATCAACCTGACCAAAAGGTCTAGTTCACATACATTGCACACAACCATACCATTCATTTAACCAAGTTGGTCTGACGTGCCTTAGTGTTAAACCCTGACTGTATTATTATTTTTTTTTAGCAAGATCGCAAAGTTTTTCATTTCAGATTACTGGTTAGCCATTTTTGGGGGACATGTATCAGTACTATAAAGACATTTATAGATGAGTCTTTAAATACATTGCATCAGAATACATGAATATGGTTAGGACATATAGAGTTTGTCATGTCTATCTTCCGTCTTTCTGTCCTTCCGTTATGCTTTGTATTTAGAACAGTCTAAAGCTCAGTTTCAAAGAAACTATGACAGGATCTTTTTATCAAACTTCATAATATGCTGATACACACGGAGGAGAACTATTCAACTGCATCAACATTTCATGATCATGACCTTTCCTTTGACCTTGACTTACTTTTCTTAAATTAGTGTTTAGCTCAGTTTTAAAGAAACTATTCAAGATATTTTTACCAAACTTCATATGCTGATACATACTGATGAGAGCTATTCAACTGCATCAACATTTTTTTTTACCTTGACATTTCCTTTGACCTTGACTTCACTTTTCTTAAATTAGTATTTAGCTCAGTTTTTAAGAAACCATTCTGGACAGTGTTATCAAACTTTATATGCTGATACAAAATGAAGTAAGCTTTTGAAGGGCATCAACCTTTTTTTACTTTAACCTTTCCTTTGACCTCACTTTCTTAAATTTGTACATTTTGTATTTTGCTTAGTTTGAAAGAAAGCATTTAAGATATTTCTACATAAGCTTATACACTTAAACAGAATTTGGTGAGAATTTATCAACTGTATCTTTTTTTTTAGATTTCAATTTCAATTTTGAAGACCGTTCACAGTAGCTCAATCAGTAGAGTGCTCGCTCCATGATCGGGAGGTCGTGAGTTCAAATCTCGGCTGCGACTGACCTAAGTCGATAAAAAAATGGGTAGCAACTGTTCCTTTGCCATGCGATCAGCACTTTGAAGTGAAAGTTGTGGGTCCTTTGGATGAGACCTTAAAAACTGAGGCCCCGTGTCACAGCAGGCATTGGCACTATAAAGATCCCTCACTGCTCATTGGCCCTGAGTGTCGAGTAAAAGTCAAAATTCATACACTACTATTTGATAATGACCAATTGATATTTGCCCCCAAAATCAAACTTTGACAGAGAAATGCATAATTATGTTCTAAAACAAGGGGATATATTTTCATCAGCCATGACATCATATGTTAGATATGACATCAGGAAGATGACCTATAGTCAAATTTTCCATAACTTTTGTAAAATGATAATGGACTGTATCAGTGAAATATGTTTACTTAATATTGTTATGGAGCAGATTTGCGCTTCTTTAATTTTAGAGTAAAAATTGAACAAATTGTGTACATTTTGTCCTCTTTCTGATAAATAACACAAAATCTAAATAATCTGTGGTGTCCTAGAAACAAAAATTGCCAATGACCTGCTTTGAAACTACGATATTTTTTGTTAATTCTGATTTTTCTGCCCCCGCCATAAAATGGGCAGGGGAATATAGTGTTACTCTGTTCCATCATTCCATCATCATTCACTTCCCATTCATTATCTCTGCAACAGTTGCACACATTCAACGCAAATTTGACATATGGATATATTTATAAATGCAGGTCAAGGTCAAATTTGGTTATGGTCCGATGATTTTTGACAGAGTTATTCCTCTTGAACTTAGAAAAAATAGAAATGTTCAGTTTCCACTCTCTTACTTTTGTAGGGATGTATATATAAGGTTGAAATTGCATGTGCAGGTATTTTACCAAAAAATACAGGTCAAGTTCAAATTTGGTCATGGTCCGATGATTTTTGACAAAGTTATCTCTCTTGAACTTAGAAAAAATTAAGAAATTAACTGCAGAGGCATTCATGGCGTTCAACACATCTAGTTCATACAATATATACAATTCAGGACATTTCAAGAAATTTTAAAAATATTACATTTAAGGGGGGGGGGATTTATATAGCTCTTTTAATGTTGCATTACTAATATACCCGCGACTGGGCATTCATGTCCTATGGACATCTTTGTTGTCTTTTCATTCTGTGAGATTTATAATATTTAAGTTTCTAATATGCTTATCATTTGAATGCCTACTAAGATCATGATTTTGTAGTTGGTATTTCACAAATACTCTGTGCCATTTGACAAACTTAGAATACTGCCAAATGCAATTTACATCTCGGGTGCGGGGTGTGCAATTACAAAAATTGGCAATTAGTTGTATTTTTTGCTGATATTTCCTACATTGCTTTAAATGCTCATGACCAATGCTTTCTTTTCAGATATTACCTAAAAACATCAAACAACAGGGGAAAAAAGAGGACTGCCTATTTCCGATTTATCTTTACACAACAACACCAGAAGCACTACCATCAAAAAATTAAAATCAATATATAGGAAGAAAAAATGAAGACATTGATTAAAAGAAAAGAAGTTCAAAGAGTTTCGAATATTATGTCAAGTTGTCAACGACAACACAGATCTGGAAATGGATTTTCTTGCCTAATAATTATATTAAATGCATGTTCATGCATGACTTTTGTTCCAACTGTGTTCCCTGTATCACAATTCCTCCATCATGTATACATGTAGAGCAAGGGCAATGTTAAAAAACCATCACATCTTGTGTAACACCAACAAAACAGCTTTTTATTGTTTGGACATTAAATGCTTATGATTATACTTAAAATTGCAAGAAAAAGGACTGTACCTGTGTAAAGTACAATGCAGCAATATACAAAAAAAGATTGTCCAACAATATTTTTGTCTCTGTTATTTGTGTTGTACTGGTATACACTTATGTATTGGAGCATGAGAAATAAAAAAAAATATTTCTTGATTTAAAGATGAAGAAAGTTTGGGAAAGTCTTGGAATTAGTGTTTGAAAGGTATATATATAAACTATGTTGTGTATAAATCTTTATATACTTTTGTTAAATCAGAGTGCATATTTCTTTAGATAAGTAAAGAAGTTAAATAGAGCAATTTATCAAATAATCATTCAATAAGTAATGCATTCATTAAGGTTCATTAATGTTAAGCACTTTGATAGAAACAGTTGTAAAGGAATATTTTTTCATATATTGAGAATTTAAAGAATTTTTAAATCAGTCAGTGAAAATAATTCCTTATCTTTATACAGTCATGTATGTACAAATGTTTTAACGATGAAATGACTATGCAAAGAATGGAATAAAACATGTCACTGTCTTGAATTGTTTAATTTATGCATTCACGAATATCAATGTTGGCCTGTGTGGAAGGAGAAAGGTTCATGAAATAGTATCCTTAAGGAGTATATACAGTACTTTAAAATATTCAGCAGAATTTCTTTACTTGCATGTTGCCAGACATTATTAATTAATTAGGGCTCCGCTCTGCGGGCGCCGTATAGTAATCAGTCTGTCTGTCCGTCCGTCCGAGATCTCTTGTCCACAGCATATCTTCTATCTCCTTGGCCCAATCTGGCTCATACTTCACCCACAGAGTGTCTTTGGGTAAAGGGTGTACAGTGACCTTGAACCATGTTTCTAGGTCTAAGGTTAAGGTCATAGCAGAATTATATGAAAAATCCTTGTCCGGAGCATATCTTCTCTCCTCTTGGTCCAATGTGGTTCATACTTCACTCGCACTGGTCAATCGATGTGCAGTGACCTTGAACAAAGTTTCTAGGTCAAGGGTCAAGGTCAAAAATAGCCTCTCTGTCTAAAATCTTTGTTCGGTGCATAATTTCTTTCCCTTGAGTCCAGTTAGCCTCAAACTTTACCAACTGACTTAGGGTATGGAACATTTGTGATTTTCCTTCCATATTTTGATAGAGGATATGCAACAATTTTCATAGAGGATATGCAACATTAGTGATTTGTGTGCTGTCTTTTGATAGAGGGTATGGAGCACTCGTGATCTTTATGCCATTTTTTTTTTATAACAAGGATGACATAGAAGCCCTTTAGACTCGAGCAACACATCCCTTAATAGTACACAAATGTTCCTCTTCAAAGTAAACTCTTTTCAGCTACTTTACCTTTTCATGTTCGGTTTTGAAAGCGGGGCCCTTTGAGAAGGCCACCATCTCAATGATATCTGGTTATGAGTGTGAGGTTACAAGCCTTATAATTCTTTTATATGAAAATAATTTTAACTACTAACTTTAATTGTAAATGTCATGTTACCATGACAGTTGTAATTGTCATGATCCCAGCAAGCACTTTGGTGTGCTGAAATGTATCAATTATAAAGAAAAAGGTGGGAGATTTGTCTTGGAAAAAAGGGAACATATTACAAGAATTATTAAGAAAAAATAGTATGAAAGAAAGCAAAGGCCATCACTATTATTATATGAATTAATAATCTAAACTCTCTGATTGGCTGAGATCCAACATTATAGAAAAATACAACATGAACTTTAAGTTCACCTGCACGTGACTTTCCAGGTGAAAATATGAATTTTTAGCTGAAATAATGTAGCCCTCTTCAATATTTTTCATCTGATGTAAAAAAAAAAAAAAAAAAAAAAAAAAAAAAACGGAGAGGGCTACGTTGTTGCAGCTCATGAATTTTGTCTACATTGGACTAAAAAATAAATTGAGAACTTCCTAATGGATAAAATTAGATCTGAAAAGTTATTTCACCCGTAGAGGGAAGGGGGGCACTTTTTTCTGAACGATGTCTACTATCGGTTAAGTATACATGTAAAATGTTCGTGGAAAGGCTTTTTGATCTTCCTTTTTGATACAGTATAATATTGTCACCGGCGACATTTATGTACCTTCCATAACTCCACATATTGTCGTCTGTCGGTCTATCTTATTGCAGGCATACAACAAAATTTGAGTACCCTGGATGCACATATTAAGATAATGCTAATGATGATGAAAATGATGAGGAAAGTTAAGGCTTGCTAGCAGACAGGTTGTACATACATGAAATATCTCTTTAATTTAAAATGTCTGAAATATCTATCGAAATTAATTGCATCCTACTATTAATTTAACTTACATTGATATCCAATGCTTTTGAAGATTTAACCAATATCACATACATGTAGCTTCTATGGAAGCAGGTTTATTGAGAAGACTTTTAATCAAAAGGGTCATGAGCCACATGGGTTACATGAGAAACTCTTTGCCTGCTGTTCTACATTAAGATCCCCCCTATACACTGTACATGTATTCGGATGTAAATTTCTGATCGCCTTTTGTGACCCAACCCTATATACAGCGGACGTGATTTGATAAAAATGAATATTTCTAGTCTCTACCATTGGATTTTTCCACTTTAGTACGGTTCCTTAATTATGGCTTTGCAGTTGAAAATCTACACCAAGTAAGGAAGCTTCCATACAAGTTTCAGCTTTTTTTTTGGTCTTGTGGTTCTTGAAAAGATTTTAATGACTCTACCATATCTTTGTCTTTTCTTGATTATTTTCCACTAAGAGTGATTTAAAAGAGTCACTTGAGCTTCCAGCTCAGGTGAGCTAAAATGTGGACCCCCCCCCCCCCGACCACCATCCATAATTACATTGGCACATGTATAAGAATAGCAAAAAATATTATCAAGATACATATTACTACTGAACTCAAAAACTCTATATAATGACAACTGACAAAAGAGAATATTCAGGAATTCTGAAATCTTTGTAAATCATAGTCGTGTACACCGATCCTTGACAAAAAATTTTTACCACAAAATTTTCTCCCTTCATTATTGCGAGTAATTCTACTGTCTGTCTGTCTCCCTCCGTGCGTGTTTGTGTGAGAGTGTTTGTCAGTCTCTTCACGGCCCTAGTAAATATTCGCTATGATTACACAATTGAATAATTCATATCTCCTATTGGCTGAGATTCAACAAAGAAGAAAAAAAACACTACGTTATATTCACATGCATGTGATTTTCCAGGTGAATATAAGGATTTATGTTCTCGATACCAATAGTTTTGGAAAGCTATTTCACTTGCTACCGACTTCCACTCAGGTGAGCATAACATTAGGGAATATATAATTTGGGGTGGGGATGGTTTTGGGGTGGAAGGGACCCCCCCCCCCCCAACACTTTTTCCTGAACGTAAATTTTTACTTTTAATTCAATTAGAATAAAAACGTTCATTGAAAGGCTGGTCCCTCACTAATGGTTCTTAATACCCCACCCAACCCCACCAAACATCAAACAAAATTTGAAGTAAAGAGAATTCTATTTTCGTTGGGCTAATCAAAGATTTACCCCTGATAATGCCCCCATTGCCCCCCCCCCCTTCCCCCCGCCGAAATCGATCCTATCAAAGAGCCTGACATTATTTCTTTTATTATCATAGCAACTAGAGTTGATTTCAAAATTAAATCCAATTTAATACGACTGGTAACGTTTATTTAACACTGATTCTCTCATTGCAGTTGGCTTGTAACAAGTAAGATGGCATGAACTGCTTAATGATTTTATATCATTTCATCATTGAATTATATATCAAAACAATTATTGCTGTTTGAGATCAATGCGATGATTTAGCCATTTTTGATGTACAATATTCATCTCGCCCTTCAGGTTCAGGTGGCTAAATCATCGTATTGAACTCAAAACAACAATAATAATTGTATGAAATAATTTATCGGCGACAAAATTTGCAAATGTTCACAGTACATATTGTCGCCGACGACAGCATGTGCCGATGCTTGACTGTACATTAACTTTATCGTCCATTATGCAGAAGGAAAGTAAGGAATTGTCACCGGCGACAATATGTATACCGATGGACGACAATATGTGCAATGTGGGTAGGTACATATTGCCACCGACGACAATACGAACAGAACGACAATATGTACCGTCACATCCCTTCACACGAAATAAAATTTGGAATTTAGACATTTTTTTTACCCCCACCCTCTCCCCTCAGGTTTCAAAATCGATGCAACGTGCCTGATATTTTTTTCAAATTGTATTAAAATTTGAATTTAATATTTTCTCAAATTTTCTGTATAATATCATGAATTATATGTTGCTACAGAGTCAGAAATTCCAAATTAATACAACTATATAGTTATTTTTATTTTATCTTCAGCAAATGTAAACAAGAAAGGTTGCATGTTAGCTTAACAAGTTTGTATTATTCAATCATTGAATCAAATAATAAAACAATTATACAATTAAACTAATAGGTATCTCGAACATTGATATCTCTAATACCATGGATATGTCCAGGTAAGATGGAAGTCCCCAGTTCTTTTTTTATGCATTTTAACCCTAATATCTCGAATCCTCCGATGTCTCGAGGTTTTTTCTTGATCCCATGGAGGTCGAGATAGCAAAGTTTGACTGTAATGTTGTTTTTCCAGGTCAGTACGATGATTTATACATACAACAAGTTATTATATCCCCGCTCCGAATGAGAAGAAGGGGTATACTGTTTTACCCTTGTGTGTCTGTATGTCTGTCTTTTTGTCTGTCTGTCGGTAACAAATTTTCGTCGCAGTTTTCTCAGCAACTACTCATCGCATATACTTAAAATTTTAGCACACACTTTCTTTAGGCATGTCATATGTTGGGATTCATTTTTGTACGAATTCTTGTTTATTCGTGCGTCTGTCTGTATCAAATTTCCGTCGCAGTTTTCTCAACAATTATTCTTTGCAGTTCACATGAGAGCGTATATTCACATCAGATTACTAGTGAGTATTGCCTCACAGACTTCTTGTTTAATATGTGTGCAAAGTTAGAAAATTAAATACCCCTTCACAGTGTACAGTAACAAAATTTAAGATCCTACCAGCTAGGGTTTTGCACGCAGGCACGTTATATATTTACATTTATATGAAAAATGTAAGCCAAGTGGGTCAATCGTTCTCACTGAAG